GCGCTTTCAACCACCAGCAAGAAGTTGCCTTCCAGGGTTAGCAGTGGCAACGGAGATGGGAATTGGGACATCCCAAATCCCGTTTAGGTTGCCATCGCCGCAGAGGGACGGGGGCTATCCTGCCAACTCCTGGCTAGAGCAAAGCGCGCCGGGGAGAACCCCAGAGCCTGCTTGGAAAGGGCCCCATTTCACGCTCTGGCTATCAGACTCCTGCTTGCCTTGTTGACTGGAGTTTTCATTGTAGAAGAGAAGTTTACCGGGGTTGGAGGGCGGAGAGGGCAATCAGTAAGGTGGGGATGGGGAGAAGGGGCTTTTCAGACATTAACATCACCAAAAATAGTGTTTTATGCAACAAAGAATCAAGTCTCACTGGTGTATACTACAAAATGTTTGACATTTTCCAAGAGCATGACAAAATAAAAACACAAAGAAGTTTACATTGGATGTTCATCTTGTTCACTAGGTTGGTTTTGTTTTTGTTCCCCCCCCCCCCACTCCTATTTTAAAACAGTGCAAACAGGTAACACACTTTTAAAAAAATCACCCCTCTGCACCAAGGACAGCATTCCCCTGCCCCTGCCAGGCTGGAGGGTCACCGGCAGCCCCCCTGCTGCCCGTGTGCTTTCCCTTTAGAGCCAGACTCAGCAAAAGCGCTCCCCAGAGCTGTCGTTTGGGTTTCCCTTTATTCAATTCCTAGGTGCTCCCCAAACCTGTCCTCCGCTCGCCTCCTCCTTCAGGGCCGGGATGGGAAGATACAGATAGGGACGGGTTGGGGAAAAACATGGGTGGGAACTGGGAGGCTCCGCTTTGTATTCCCCGCTGCCGAAGCTCTGGGTGCTGGAATTAAAACCCCAGCAGGCAGCGTCTCTTTTTCAGGCAAGGAAATGGTTTCACGAACCGTTTCACGACTAGCACTCGAGCCAGCTATTCAGATAACCCTCCTCCTTCAACATCCACACATCTCGGAACGGGTGAGAACAGGGGATATACTCTCACTTCACTTTAGGGACGGGGAAGCGAAGTCTAGAGCAGCGACACGACCGCTCCACGCCGACCCTCGAGGATCACCAAGAGAGCCCAGCCCAAAACACACGTCTCGGACTCCTGAGCTAGGGCTCTTTCTCACTGGGCAAGTCCGCTCTCTCGGGCACTGAAACAACCAAGCCACAGCTATTTTAAAACATGGCTTTGTCTATCAGAACTCATGACGCACGATCCACAGAACTGCTTAACCTGGGAAAAGCTGGCTATAACAGGCTCATACCGAGCTCCCCGTTGCCTCCGGGTCCCATCATGGCTTTTCTTAGAAAAGCTAACCCACCTGCAACAGTGCAGCCTCCCTAGCACAGGGACAGGAACAACAGTTTCTTGACGTGCTGGGCATCAATATAACTTATTCCCAGTAGAGAATAGGCCATACCAGTAGAAGTCATCTTTGTACCAGCACAACTGTACCCATAAGGAAAGACAGACCAGCACATTAAATAAATCAACTCTTCAATCCAAAATTTTATCAGTATAATATCACGTGCTGGCCAGATGTATTGCAAGACAGTACAAACAGCAACACTTAAACATCTTTTCCTCTACATCAAGAGGAATCCCGGATGCCACCAGCCTAGAAGGTGACAAACAGCAAGCTATTTGCCAGGCTGCCTGTGCGGTTTCCCTCGGAAAGCCAAATTCTGCTTTGTGAGGGACCTGGGACTGCAGACCCGTCTCGGGGACAAGCACTAGCTGCCATCGGTCAAATAAGCCAGGGCCCAGTTTAATTCATTAAGTGTAATTCATTTTGCATAGGGAGATATAGGCTTTGTCCTCACTTCTTCAGAAGATGGATATAGCCACGGCGTGGCTACTCTGAATGCACCTTAAGCCAGTTTGTAACACGTTTGAGTGAAACCAGAGCTGTTGTTTGCCAAGAGGGAAGGAAGGCTGAAGAGCTCTCCCACCACGGCACAACACTCACTCGAGAAACCTCGCTGCAAAATTCCAGCTGGCGTGCAAGTTTTTGGGAGGTCTGGTGCTCCGGAGACCTGGAACCAGTGAGCTACCTCCAGCCCCCGGCCACGCAAAAGTCCCGGCATCCCGTCTGCAGCTCACGAGCTGCTTCGGCAGGGATCCTGCAGCACGAACTACGGAGTCGAGGAGACACCGACTGCTTAATGCGCTGGAGGAGCCTGGCAGGGAGCGACCGGAGCAGTCCAGACTCGGATACAGGAGGAATCGGGCTGAATGCTCTAGAGCAGGTATTACTTGGAGATCGTAGAGCAGGGGACCCACGGCCCCGCAAAGGTTGGGCGCTTCTGCACTAAACCCCTCACATTCCTAATGTAACTCGGGCGGGCTGAAGCTGCCATGCATAGACTTCTGCTCGGAGGCAGAAATGGGGCTGGCCTATTCCCAGAGAGGCCAAGTGGCTGGGGGGGGGGGATTGCAGGCAGCACTGCCAGGGCAGGGGAGGGCACTCGGGGAAGGAGAACCCAGCTTTTTCAAGGAGCTGCAGTCAGAACCAGCTGAACTGAAAGGTAGGAAAGGGGCAGAGGGGCGAGCAGCAGCTCCCGGCGGGCTCCGCGAGCTGCGGTCCTCCGGCTCGCAGCCTGCAGACCCGCTGCACGGGGAACTGCCTGCGGGCAAAGGGAAGGGACGGCCGCGCTCAGCCCCTCTGCCCACAGGTGGGTAGAGCAAGTCTGGTAGAAGCTTTTGCTGCATCTCAGCTCCAGAAGTCCTCTGGGCTGCCCTGCGGTGGAAATGGCTCCCCTTGAATACGACTATTTCTACCCCAAGTCCTCCCCTCCCCTACCAACTCAGGCAGTAAAAGCTCCCCAAACACCCCAAGTCCCCCTCATTTCCTAGATTTTGTGAAAGCCCCAACACCCTGTTCCCCCCTCCCCATTTTCAAGCTAACTAAAATATTTATATACAAACAACAAAAAAATTGTCATAACAGCAACAAACCAAACTTTGGCTTGGAAAAAAAAAAAGTTAAAAACCAACAACAAAACCAGAAAGAAAAAAAAAAAACAGGTGGCCAACAGGCTGGCAGTTTGGTGTCCCCTTTATCTAGCTATTCCTCCAGAGAATCAATAGCTTCAGGGTCTCTAGCTTAACTAATGGCTTCCCCATCCTTCCCATTTGAGGTGCCTCCTCTCTGCTGCACACAGAGAGACTATGTGTATCCCTGGGGAAGAGCAAAAGAAAAAAAAGCGTGGTTGTGTGTGGCTGGGCCAGGACACCTCCCCGGGAGCTCTGCTTGTTGACATTGCTTAGTGTTAAAATGCAGGAGGTTTCCTATTCTGGTATCAGCGGTGGATGGAGAAGCAGGTATACGACAGGAGCTGGAGAGGCTCCACCAACAAACCCACGCTCCGAGCAGCCCTTCTGGGGGTGGTGAGCTCACCCCAGTACCGATCGAGGGAGTTGAGGCAGCCTTGTAAAACCGCACTTCTGCATTTCTCTACCATGTGGTTAGAGACCCTGCCTCTGATCACTGGGGTTACTGGGAGCACTCTAGGAGCCAGCAGCTGAGCAGGGGAGGTCTGGAGAAGAGCAACTCCCCATCACGGCACAGCTCACGCAGTCATCTAAAAAAGCTAACTTTGAAACACAGCGAAATCACTGTACGCGAGAGCGGGAGGGAGATGGTCTTGGGAGTCATGGAGCCCTCCCCTAACTAGTCTCTCTGCTTCCAGATCTTCTAATATGTAGTGTCTATATGGACTCAGTGGACCAGGTGCACAACTTTCTATGAGAGGCTGGGCAAAACAGACCCAGGGGCTCCAGCACAACTACGTAAGGGCCTGAAATAGCTTGTGGTGGGAAGTTCCTATGAATTCAGAGCTTGCACAAACTGCTTCTGCCTGCCCTTAAACTCCTGACAGAAACAAAACTACTTCAGGATCACGTTTAGATATCAAAGACCCTCTTCCCCCACACAAACCCACATTGCTTGCCCCTTGCCTCAAGCAGCTTATACATGACTTGTTTTTTCCTCACTCATGTTATTTGAAACAGGTTACTTGGAGAAGCGCCTAAGCAGCTCAGGACGAACAGGAGGAGACCTCGCACGCTGGACCTCGGAGCGCCCGAGCACGGCACGGATGCAGGTTCTTCTGCCAGCCTTCTTCCTCTGCCAGGCTGCGTGTGCTTCACCTCCGCAAGTTTAGCCGCTTGCTGTCCGCAACAGAGGTACTCTGTGTGATGCTGCATTGCATCTGCCACTCCTCAAGGAAAGAAGGGGAGGAAAGGGACAGCAAGGGAGAAAGATCTTGAAAAGGAGGAAGGAAAACTAATATAATTACAGCCACCAGCAATGGACAACAATCAGCTAGAGTAAGTTGTGTGTAGGGGAGAAGGATCATCCTCATCAAAAACTCCTTTCAAAGTCTTGTCCCCTATACAGCAGATAACAGCCAAAGTCTTTGGGCAGGTTGAGGAAATCTTCTCTTGCCAAGTCTAAAATCCTGACACTGCTGAAACTGTCCCAACCTGTGCGCGTCAGATGGTGATAAAAACGAGGAAAGTCTCTGCATTTCCCCCATTTCCAAATGTAAATGACTATTTCCCACCAGCATTTAGGTCCCAGCCACAGCCAAAGAGTGCTTCTTTCTGCAGACCAGAAACACAGCAGGTGGAGACTTCTCCCTCACGTCCTCCTGTCTCACAGGCACCAAGCACCAGACCCAGGGAAGTAACTCTGTCTGCGTGTTCCTGATTAATTGCATCATACCAGTTTCTAACAGCTTTCCTTATCGCTAATTGCCTTTTCCGTGATTGGTAGGATAAGCTATGCACCAACATACAGACACGGAAATGCATTATTTTTACCACAGTTAAAAAAACCCCAAAAACAAAAACAAAAAAAACCAAAAAAAAAATGCACAATCTTTGGAACAAAAGAATTAAAGGCAGAAATTTAAAGGAAAAAAAAATACATATTCAAAGAACATAGTGAGGTATAAAAAAGTATTTTCTCTTTTGTTTTTTTTTTTGTTTTTCCTCCTCGTCTTGCTATAGAGTTCCTCTACTAGTAAATATTGCAATAGCCAGGCCTCATGAACTGGGGGGGCTGTCCCACTTGCAGGGGGCTCACGTCACTTCAGTAGGGGGCAAATCGGCTGTAGCCACCTCGGTATAAACTCGCCTGTAGAAATTAAATGAGAGAAGAAGAGGTTGTTAGGAGGAGAACTGTGAAGAAATACTCAGGACAGCACCCGAAAGATCTCAAAAGGACTAACGGACATGTCCTGGCACTGCCCCACCACCATCAGCACTTCTAAGAAGCAAGAGAGGAGAACTTTGCCTGCAAAACCAAAGACATGGCTCAGGAGGACGTGCTCATGGCCAGCCAGCTGGAAGTGAAGTTTGGCAAGTCTTGGTGAAAGGGAGCGCAGTACCAGAGAGGGCTCTTGAGTCCTCATCTCTGAGCCAGGCTGCCTTTAAAGATAGCAGAGACCAGGACTTCTAGGATGCTTTTCACCTCACCTTAAGGTAAAGGTCTAAAATAGACACGACGGTCTGGTATCCTAGAAGTACCTGCTTTTCCTTCATCGACCCTAAAGAGAATCCACATGATGAGCTGAGGCTCAAACAGAGGTGCTACGCTACAGATAGCTATATTTAGGTGTCTTTTTCTCTGAACACATTTGTATTCCAGCCTTTGCAACAACACAGATACTGCGCTGGCTAGAAGCAGATGGGCAAGCACGCGTTTTCAGCAAGCTGCTCCACTCCCCTCCGATGCCAGCATACCTCATTCCTGCCTTTGCATAACTACTGCTGGCAGGCAGGACACCGCATCCTTCCACTAGTGGAAGAGGGAACCGAGTGGAGCAGCTTTGCTGCAAGATGTTGCAAGAACAACTTATTTCCTTGCTTCCTAGAACTGATTCTCAACATGCAACACAAGCCTTTAAAGTTAACTGAAATGGCAAGAAAGGGTGTCTTGCATCTCTAACTATCGCTCTATATACCACCTTGATACAGTTCTACTGATTCACCAACAATGTTCTGCCTCCTGGCATTTCTGGTCACTCTTCTACCATCTCCTTTGTACTAGGTGATGTGCAAGACTAAGTAATAACTGGTCTCCTACAACCTGGCTCCTTTCCTAGTGCACACACACAAACATAGGAATGCAGAACAACTGGGAACCCAGCATTGCAGCTGAGGATCTCCTCCCTCAATAGAAACGTTTTTCTGGGTGACGTTTCATTACCTGATGCCTAGTGAACAGCTGTTCCCCATGCTGCAAATGAGAAAGAGCACAGGAAAGAAAATCCCACTTACCACAGCGCCAACTCCGTAGCTAGCGGCAGGGGCAAGGGCATGGTAAGGATCTGCTGTGTACACCCTGCCATAACTGAAGAGAGGAAGAAAAGATAAAAAAAGAGAAAAGTCACTTTGGAGGGGCAGAGAAACAGCTGTCTGACCACAGGCAATGGAGGAAGCAGCATACCCTTCTACACACATGTATGCGTACATGCACACACATGCACGCAGGCAGCCCCTCTTCGAAGAGATCCTACGGGCATGCTGCCATGCATCGTATGAGATGGGCGAGAGAACGGCCTGCAAGGAGGAATGTGGCAGAAGCCATGAGCTTGACCTGTAGGAAGGAGGTCAGCACCTTCAAAATGAGGGCTAGCGCATCCCTTACCTCGCGTGATGCAATTTGGAAGGAGAGTGACTGCTGGCACTAGCGCTACTGGCACGGTAACAGCTGCTAAATGGAAAGCAGTGAGGGATTCTCCAGAATGAGAAGGGAGTATAAAATTTAATGGTCTTGCACGTGCTAGGATTAAAACAGGGCCTCACTGCACAGGACATGAAAAAATCTCAAGGTAAGCACTCTGATGATGATAATCCTTTGTATCTATACAGAGCCACACGTTAAAGCATCCTAGAGTACCGTATGAGCTGAGCAATTTTTACTTTATGGATGGGGAGAGAAAGGCACCCAGCGATTAAACAACCTGCCCAGAGTCACAGAGCAAGGAGCTGGCAAGGCGAGCCAGGTCTTTTGACTCTGAGGCCGTAACCACGCCGCCTCCTCCGTGCAGAGAATCGCAAGGACAGGGAAGAGGCCAGGATGCGTGCCAGCTCACATACACCGGAGGGCAATACTGCCCGGGAGCAGAGAGACAAACCGTGCATTCAAGTCTTTCATGTTGGGTTGTGCATGCACGTGTGCGCGTGCAAGTAAGACAAAGAAACGGGGAAAGAAATAGAAGTACTGTAATGGATCAATGCTCCTTGAATCCCTGAGCACAGCAAGCTAGCCCCCACAGACACCTCCCCCTTACATACCCATCGCTGTAAGCTGCTGCAGCGGCTGCAGCAGCTGTGGCTGCTGTTGCAGTAGCAGGCTGTGCATATCTGTAGGCTGCGTATCCACCCTGCAGGAGAGAAGAGAACTGACTTTACAGATACCTGTCCACCCACGCAGAGCATAAAAAATAAAATTTTAAAAAAATAATAAAAAAAAAAAAGTCACACACATCACAAGGAGAGGAAGTGTTTCAAACTGCATCAGCTCCCATGTCATGTCTATCGCAAGCATCGCCCATTAACTCATGTATATTCCTTTCCTCAGAAGGAAGAGTCTCCCTGGTCCATCACCCCGTTTAGCAGAAGGAATAAACTAAAGCAAGCCTGAGCATGGTTATATCCTTGCAGGAAATTAAATCTGACATGGAAGAACTGAAAACTAGAAGAGAGCTGAAATCTTGCATGCAACATAATTTTTACGTCCCCTTCCTCTTACGATGGGGAAATCAGAGGTGGGCACTTCTGTGAGGCGTGTATTTTAGAAAGGGGACCATTCAGAGAAATTCCTGCCTTTTTTCCCCCTCTATCTCTTTTTTAAGCCTGGGAAACCCAAAAGGTTAGAATTTCGTTTGGTCCAGATGCGTAGAAGTATCAATAGCCAGAGAAGCCAAAAATCAATCAGGAAAAGATGGTCAGAGAAGACAATCCCTGGCGGTCTCAGGGCTGGCAATAAGCAAACTGACATTGATACCAACCAGATCGTTCTCCCCTCCCTCCATGTAAGAAGGTGTCCTGGTTTCAGCTGGGATGGAGTTCACTTTCTTTTTAGTAGCTGGCATAGTGTTATGTTTTGGGTTCAGTATGAGAACAATGTTGATAACACACCGATGTTTTCAGTTGTTGCTAAGTCGTGTTTAGACTAAGTCAAGGATTTTTCAGCTGCTTGTGCCCAGCCAGCAAGAAGGCTGGAGGGGCACAAGGAGTTGGGAGGAGACACAGCCAGGACAGCTGACCCAAACTGGCCAAAGGGGTATTCCATACCATGGGATGTCATGCCCAGTATATAAACTGGGGGGAGTGCGGCTGGGGGGAATTGCTGCTTGGGAACTAACTGGGCATCGGTCAGTGAGTGGTGAGCAATTGCATTGTGCATCACTCGCTTTGTATATTCCACTTATTATTTTTGTCATTTTATTATTGTTATTATTATCATTATTAGTTTCTTCCTTTCTGTTCTATTAAACTGTTCGTATCTCAACCCATGACTTTTACCTTTTTGCTTCCCATTCTCTCCCCCATCCCACTGGGGGGGCGAGTGAGCGAGCAACTGCGTGGGGCTTAGTTGCTGGCTGGGGTTAAACCCCAGCGGGTCAGGGGAAATGATGCCAGAACGGTCTATACTGCTGCTGCATTTCTGCCCATGCTACACACCTGTACTAAAGGTCTTTAAAATGCTTACGCTGATGAGAGGTAGTTACTAAAAAGGTACTCAGAGCTGGGATGGCAAAAGGTGAATCCTGCCCCAGAGGAAGACCTGGCTCAGGCAGGCGGCTCTGCACACCCTGCAGCAATGAAGGACGGAGGGCAGCCGCCTTCAGACCAGGGGCAAAGGCTGCGTGGCAGGCAGCAAAGAGGGCTCTGAAGCCCAGGTTCCATCTTTATTGTACACTTCTGAACGCATTGTTGTTAACTTGGGGGGGCAATGGTAAACGAACCGTGGCTTTGATTTGCTAGAAACACAATGAGCCATAAATAACATCAGAAAAATTCCAGATTGCTTCTGGCTTTTCTTTTTTTTCCAATTGACATTTCAGAGTTTGAAGGACCAGAAGGCAGACTTACGCTCTTCACCTCCAGAATCAGCTCAACATACCGCTACCACTTCTTCCCTATAGATCTTTTGCGTATATATAACTAAGAGTACAAGATCAGCTCTACTACAGGACTGTGTGTTTGCTCAGCAGTGCTCGATTTTGGGTTAGGTAGCTTTTAAATTGGAAGTAATGATTTTTAAATTAATTGTGGTTGCTTTTGTGGGGCCTGTGTTAGTCCCACGAAGGCTAACATGCTATCCAAAACGCCCCTAGGGACCCTTTCCTACTCCAGAGGAGAGGGACTTACAGCCTCTTCAATCTTCCAGTTAACAGAAGAAAGAGCAACACAAATCTACACCTCTGAAACATCACCACATTGCCCAGAAGAGATGTCATGTTACAGTTTTGCCCTTTTAATCTCATCTAGCTCTTTCGATCCCTGCATTTTGGATTGGCGGTTTGGGGAGGTTTAGCTTGGTTTTGGCATGCTATCACTGCACCGCCATTACTCCCACCTCCAAAACATGACGGAGACGAGAAGAACGAGGTGCAGCCTTAATCCAAATCAAACCTTCATCGGCCTCACCAAATTAAGACAAAACTTCATACCAATGTCATCGTGGCATTCCCTTAAGCCTACAAGCTTCCTGAACTCTTGCTGGGGTCTCACCCAGTGTACGAGGCATTTTTGCCCGGCACTACCCTCCGCAAGGCTGCTGGCTTCAGCACGCACCCGGATTCCCACTCTGCCCCACACTTGCCAGCCACATTTCAGATCAGAAGCCGTTTCAAATGTGCCTGGCACATACTCTGAACATGACAGCAAGATGCAGTTTGAAACCAAAAAGGGTTATCATGTAATTCTCTTTTAACTCATGTCTCTCGTAAAGGAAAACAAAACCAAACAAAACCAAAACAAAAAAAAGAAGAAGAAAAGAAAAGAAGGGTTGGAATCAGGTGTGGGAGGGGGGAATGGCGTAACATTTATTAATCAAAATTAAAAACTAAGCATGCTGACATCTGGAGCTAGAACAACCAGCAAAGTCACCACGTTCAGACTCATATTGGCTAGTTCTATCCATCCCAGCATTCTCTTGGGACAGCAGTTCGCCCTAGGCTCTACCACAAGCTCAGTGAAGTACACAGCCTCAAGTACTAGAGCGTGCAGCCACAACAACCTGCTATTACGGAAACAGTCAGTCACCACTGGAGTTAACATTCCAACCTTAACGACTCCCGCAGCCTCCCGCCCTCGCCCCCCAAAATGGCTCCCACCCTAGCCCTGTCCCACACCACAATGTTAATAATTATAACAAGCAATAACCCATCTGTTATATCAGAGAAGGGAACAGAGACTCCACTGAGAGATTTAGAGCGGGATGTTAACATTTCTTCAGTCAACTGCACAACAAACAAAAAAAAACAGGAGAAATAATTCATTGGAGAAATGAAGTTAAGAAATAGCTGACATGTGTATTGCTTTTTAACCATGCACTGATGCAAAATTGAAGCTACTGTTAATTTAAAAAAAAAAAAAAAAAGTCACAGGATAGAGGTACACACGCACGGGCAGACCCGCTGAGCTCAAAGCAGTCTGCAAATTCTACTTGTGTGTACTTCAAATAAAACCAAAAATGGGGATTATAATGGCCATGGTACGTTCCTGTCATAGGAGCAATGAGTGTGGACAGCTGGGGGATTTCTGACACGGGGATGTATTTAGCATGACCAGCAGGTCCAAATACACCAAAACAGGGTAAAGGAAAGAGGAGGGAAGTTGCGACTATTACTCGTTATTTTATAAATGCTTTCACCCAACTCTGGGACCGGTACACAGCAAAGGAGACACTGTGCAGGTTGCCTTACCCAGCTGATGCTCCTGTTCTCCATAACTTGGGACCCTCCTAGAATTCCATCAAAGCCCTGCTCAGCTCATCCAATGCACCAGTTATTTTCTCCTGCTATTCCTGTTCACACACAACTTTAACTGGTATGCAGAGCTCATCCGTAACCTCAGCTACACGGTCCTACCACCCCTAGTGATTTCTGATGCCACTCACTTTGGGTACTCTAGTAAATATAAACTGTAACAGAGTACAGCATCTTCAACAAACATGAACAATCGTGTTTCCCAGTAAAAGAAAAAATAATTAAAAAAAAAAAAAAAAAAAAAAAGGCCCTTGCTAGCTGCACCACACTCCTCCAGTGCCACAGCCAAACTGCAACAGAAGACACCACTGAGCGGCATAGTCCCTGAAACCCAGGACAGCCGTGCAAACTCCCCACTCCATCTATTTAAGTGAAGTGACTCCACAGGGACAGGTTTACCCATCTACGTTCAGTTTTTAAAATCTTTAGCCTCATCTCAAAAGAAATGAGTGCGGCTGAGCTTCTTGTGAAGATGTTAAGTCAGAGACATTTCTATCGAAAGGACAGTTTAAACACTGCCTCGATAAGGAAATAGGGGAACTAAGGAAAAGGCTTATGCAGTTTTACTGGGCAGTAAGTAACAACCAAAAGGACTGTCTAAATCCAGATTGGTCCTTTCTGGTACAGTCTTCTGGATTGTCTGGGGAGCATGGGAGAGAGATGAATACCACCCTACATGTTGCTTATCTTAATTCAAGTTCTCTTTCTCTGGATGTCCTGCCAGTGCTGCTGGGGCTGTGCTAAACCCCTTTCCCCATGTGAACGTGTAGCACTTGAGCCTATAGATCTCGACTGTCCAACAACCGTATTTGCTCAGGCATTCACAAAAGCCCCAATTTAAAATGACTCTTCTGTGATGTTATCATCCTTGGCTCATCGATGAAGCAAGAAAATATTTTTTTTTAAAATTCCTTCTTTAACATTAGACAATAGCTTTTTCAATATTGTCATATATTCTCTGAAATAACACAAACACGGCAAAACAACATACACAGGAAGCTGCAATCTCAACTAAAGCAGCGTTCCAATTAATGAGCATGTTAACGTAGATAAATGAGTACTTTAAGACTATACAGTTCAGCTCAAAATAAGTCCATCTTCTTTTCCACTCTTCAGGTCCGTATTAGGTGATCAATCCAACGAGAACACGAGGAAATCCAAAACTACAGCTTACTATGTCAGTGTATCCTATGATATAAACCTCCCTTTTCTTTTTCCCTTGCTGCCTTAGATGGGCACACAAAGCGTGTTGCCGGGCCTCTTTACTACAAAGAGCCTTTACGCCACTAAGACACAAGCGTTCCCATACCCCTGGAGAAATGTGTAACTCCTGGTACTAGACTAGTTAGATACGTTTGACCACCTGCCAGGTTTAGGCAGCGAGCCCGATTTTAGGATCTTGTATTTGTCGTATCTCAAATGTGTCCTCTCCACCCCCAAACTGCCCTATAACAGAAGTTAAGAAGCAGAAAGGGCTAGAACCATTTCCAGTATTTCTGTATTAGAAGGGTGGCATATGTGCACCAGGAATGAGCATGAATGAATTAAAAGAGGTGACAGGACAACGGTGTCCATTGCAGCAGGTGCTTCTACATGGTAATGGGACAAGCATGACCTTGTTAACCCTTCCATTGAATTTACTTTTTTTTTTTTTTTTTTCAATGAAATGCCACTCGGTGTGAAATCTGGACACACGCCGCCCTGCTACAGCGGGGGCTGGGATCACACGTGAGTCTGCGCTGCCCTAAAAAAGCCTCTGTTCCCATCTCTAATGTGGTGCTGGAATGGTTAGTATAATTCAGTTTTTTCCACTGCAATCCACAATCTGATCGGTTGGCAGGTCACACTGGCACTCCTACCTGAGGTATTTTAGCGCTAATGATTGGTTCCTGTAAGACTATTCTATAACAGAACACAGGAAGAGCAGTTCAAAAAAACACAGCTGTGGAAAGAAACAATCATACAAACAGCCCACGGCGGGGCTCACCAGCCTTTTCTTTCCAGTGGATGCAAGCACGCTTTTCACAGGCAGGAGCGGTCTTCGCACGGGTGGGTTTGTTTGGGTTTCCCCCCCGCCACCCAGATTGACCCCATTGTAGAAGAAAGATAACCTTTCTTATGATCCGAAATGAAGCCCTCTGCATCCTGGGGCGGGTTGTTTTATGAATTCAGGTGTCTTGCCAGAGTGGGACGCATCCAACAAGAGATGGAATGCCTTCTTCACAGAAGAAATGGCTAGCAGGATGGTTGCCCCAGGAAAGAGAAAAGGAGTGAGGAAGAGGAGGAGGAGGAAAATGAGAAATCGGTGCATAACATGTATGCAGAAAAAGCAGCCCAAACTTGGGACACTTCCCCTTCATCTCGCCTACCACTAACCACTCCCTGCCAGCTCAGCTCCTTTCCACCCTTCCTTGACACAACGCTATGGACTCAGAAGACCTTAGGGAACCTCAATTTCACCTTCCCCGCAGTCCTAAACGAAGTACCCTCTGCCATCCCTTCCACAACCTGCACAAGCCTTTCACAGCAACCAGGGGGCCAGAAGCACTGCAGTGAAAAGCGTGACAAATCAGTGGGGCACAGGGACACTGTCATCATTCCACCTGTGCCAAGCAAACTAGAAGCGTTAACTTCATATTAGGATTATAACAACTTTTTCCCTGAGCTCCATCGGAGGGCTCTGGGCAGCAATAACATAGGAAAAAACACTGCCGTCTCCCTGGGTGAGCCCCCTCTTCTATCGTCCTGCTTTCTGACGGTGAGACCAAAGCCACCAACAGTGAAGTCGTCAGAAGTCCACGTAATGGTTCTGACCTGACTTGGGGGCTTGGTTTTGTGTTACGGGATGCTGCTGCACTGCAGCACCACCTGGTTACGGGGATTCTTCACTACTGAAGCCTCTGTCCTTAAAACATGTTAAATAAGCCTCTCCTCCCCACCTGCAATAGGGGATAAAGCTCTGAAGGAGCTTTATCAAAAGAAATAGGGAGTAACCCTGGACAGTCTTCCCTTTCAACATGACAGCCTCTTATATGCCATACTCGGAGGGAAAAGGGACTAAGCATTGCTCATTTGCTTGCTTACTTGCTGTAGCAAAGTCAGTGGTCTGTAAAGCTGGTGTTTTAGGAGTGACGTGGGAAAACCAGAAGGCTCTGTAGTCCTTTACACAGTTTTATAAAGAAACACTTGACTAGGCAGATCAATTTTTAAAGGACTGCGCGCACGATAGTATATGTTAAGAATGAAGAAACGCACCCAATATCTCTATGCTCAGAGAGCACGTCTTCCAACCACTGTAACTGTGTTAGGAAAAGCGCCTTTACAAGGCTTGACGCTCCGTATAAGCCAACGAAATCCCAAACCTAATTCCATCCATTATCTTGAGTCTAACCCCAGGGTCCTCTTCATAAACATCAGGAGTAGCACCTTCAAAGGAGCGGGGATGTGAAATCCATGCTGACAACTCTGCTGCTACCCAATACAAACTCCCCCAGTTCCAAAGAGCTATTACCTACAGTCCCACGAAAGGGAACTCTGCTAGGGCTAGGCAGGCCACGAGTTGCAATGGCAGTAGTGGACCTGAACGTTTTGGCTTTGAAAGGCACATTCCTACCATAGCTGCTCTGCAACAGCTCTCCATCGGAGAGGGAACTGCTTTTCTCACTGGCCAGTCAGAATCCCTCCATCCACGACCCACCTACGTATACACCGATGCCCTGGAGATTTGCAATACAGCCTGGCTGGGTAGGACAAAGACAATGACAGGACAAAGTCTCCCGTGGTATCAGAGCTAATTCCCAGACAGGAGGAGGCTGCTGACTCTTCTAACTGAACATCTCCGCGTATTTGTACTTTACAATTCCCCAAAGAGGCGAGAGAATCTAGCCTATTTAGGTACCATTTCTACCAGCAAAATGAGATGTCAGTTTTCACTCTAGCATCCTGGTCTCCATTTTTAATCAGCCCCAGTGTCTTCCCCAAAGGGATCATCTCCACATGCCAGTGGCACATGAACGTTTTTAAACATACAGCTCGCTCAGTTTAGTGTGGGCTGCACAAATCAAACCTGAAAGGGCCCCAAGAGGGGAGAGAAAGGGGAGGGCGGAGGGGGAGAAGGAAAGGGAAGGTCTGAGGCTAAACCAGTCCTGTTATTTTTATATCCAAATTATGTAAACAAGAGAAGTGTTGAGAGAAATTTTAATTCGCTAATCATCTTTCAGGTTGATTAGTAGCAGTGTGCATGTGGGGGACAGGACACCCAGTAAACTGACCCTGGCCATGATCAGGAAACCCAAAGGCTTAGGTCTTGCACCCAGGGGCAAGCGCAGTGACAGAGAAGCATGCTTGCATTCCTAAATATATAAATATATATATCCACAAGGAAGAAGAAAATTAAAGTAAATGATATTTTAAAAAACCAAACCAAACCAAACCAACAAACCAAAAGAAAAGAAAAGAAAAGAAAAAAAAAAAAAAGGCTGGCTTGTCAGGGGTTGGGGACGAGAAGGCTCCGGTGTGTGTACTTACATAGAGGTCAGCACCGTAAAATCCGTCCTGGTAAACCACACTGCAGAAAATCCACACAAAAACAAAAAAACAAAAAAACAAAAAACAAAAGAACAGAAAACACATTCCGGTTATTGAGGACGGCAGCATGCACATGCGTTTTACACAGGCAGGTGATGTATGAATCCACAACCTGGGCTTTTGGCAGGAGCAAATCAGCAAGAGAATGTGTGTGCGCACGCACGCTAGACGGCTCCAAGTCATCTTCCACGGCATGCAAAGGGAAGGGGCGGGCAGAGGGGGAGACAGTATGCGAAGGAGAGAGGGAGGGGAACCACCATCTTGTACAATAAAAATAGACTCAAAAAGATCTGATGTCCTGAAGAAGAGAAACAAGGGTTTAGAAACCTCCGCTCTGGTTATTCTCCTGGAATGATTTTAGTTACCCCCCTAAACATGTGGAAACATTGGCTTCATGAAGTGGGTTTGTGAAATCGAGGAGCCCCTCAGAAGGCATCCCACAGGGGCTGAAGTCACCTATGTCAGAAGCACGTTTCAGAGAGTTCTGTACGATTACGTATTTCGAGCTTCACAGGGCTGCATGACTTTGTTTCTGACATCCATACATCACCTGCTTTTACCCTGCACATTAGACATGCGATAAGATTTGGCTGATCACACAAGCATGCAAAGTATTATTATTCAGCATCTTAAAGAACCGATGCAACACCTCAGGAAAACAAGTCAATCAACTCTGATCAAAGTAAACACAGAGAAATGTAATTAAAAAGAAAAAACCAAAAATACCCACAATGCATTGCTTTCACAAGCAGAGATAATGAGCTAAAAAGGTTAGGTGACTGGTCCAAGGTCCGAGAATTGAAAGGTGCAGTGGGAGTCCCTGGTAGTAACGACCTATTCCGTAGCAGAGAGGAGCAACTGGAAGGGTTTCCATGGGATGGTGCTTTTTCTGCTTTAAGCCATAGTTTTCTTTCTCTCAGAACTTCAAGCAGGAAAACTGTTAAACCAGAGCCTGGGGTTCCCAAAGAGCCGCTCTTACCAGAGCATTCGCTAGCGTAAGACTATGCGGCTTGCTTTGGGGACAGGGGTCGGGGAAGGATGAGGAAGGAAGAGAGGGGATGCCCCCCACCCGTTCGAGTTCAGTGTGTGCTTCAGACTGAGGAATTTCCTCCTCCTTTGTCCTCTGAATAGCTCCGTACAAACTTGCTCAAGGCTTTAAAAAGCATTAGCCCCACCATCTGTGATGTTCATGGATCTGATGTGCATGACTTACCAGTAGCATTAAGGAACAAGAAACGTATGGAACACTAGCTTTCCTTTTGACTATAATTTTTTACTCATCAGATGGAATGTGAAATGCTGCCAAGAGCCTGCCACCCTCAGACACCCACCTATTGTAAGGCACGCACACACAAAAAAAGCCCAGCAGATCTTGCCAAAATTCTGCATGCTATTACTAAAAAGTAAAATAAAATTAAAAAAAAAAAATCTGTTGCAGTGTTAGCTACTGCTTGAATAATTTAGTCTTGCTGTCTTCCCCAGGAAAAATACACTCCATTCCCAATGGACAAAGTTACTATGGTCTCCAAGAGCGGTGGGAGCAGATATGAAGATAGAGACCCTTGTTAGAGGAAGAGGGGAGCCACTTCAGCAGGGAGAAGCAGGCCATAAGATCATGTTTGTTGAAGCTAAATTTTTACAACCACATAACAAAGAATTTGGCTCCTGGGGCTGTGACTTACATTGCTGGGTTCTCTATCTAGGACCAGGAGTGTTTTAGCAGTGATACTCCACCTGCTCCTGCAGGAAAGGCAAACGCATGACAAAGGAAGTGACTGTTGGTTTATGAACAGGTTAGCAGTTTTAACAGTTATTCCAAACACAATCAGTTGGATGAATATAAGCATTACCACATTGGATCAGGCCACTATTCCTGTAATTTAGAATCCTGTTGGCAAGAGATGCTAGCATCAGCTCTCCAGAGAAAACTGCAAGGGACACTAATGACAGGTAAGAGTGAGACTCCCTGGGTCCAAACAACCAAGCACACGTGCATCTTCCATCTCTCCTGCAGTTAGGACTTGACTGACATCGACTGCCAGGGCTGAAATTTAGCAAGGTTTATTTATATGCTAGAATATCCGTATTTGCGATACTTAACGCTAGCAAAAACTGAGAGAAGTCCTTCATTTGAGAACCACAGAGACCATTCTGGTTATGTAGACTGACCAGAAGCATAAAGCAGCCCAGGAGCCCATCAAATCTCAGTGGTATCTGCAAAAAGCCCACTAGCTGAGCTAAAAGACATCCACAAGAAAAAGAAATATGCTGGTTTTGTAAAGCAGCCATCATAATCGTTTAGGTGTACGAACAGTTGACTGTGTTGTAAAAGGAACAAAAAAAACCCACTCCAAACCCCCAAAGCTCCCTACTGCCTTATATCTAGTCTGACTTTTATCTACTTTTGGCTTTGAGTCAGTGAATCCTCTATATATTTACACTCTTAGACTAAATTACTCTTTACTATGGCAAGCCTACTCTTCATATAGGTACTTAATGACCAGGAACAAGTCAATGCCTAACCTATAGTTTGAGAAATAAAACTGATCAAGCTTATTTAGTTTTGAGAGTTTTACAAGTAGGCAAGTTTTTTTTCAGACTGGCTTAATTCTTCCAGCTTCTGGTCTTAAGTGTAAATTGTCAGCACTCTTGTTCAGAAAGCATGGCTGCTACAAATCAGGGCAATATTCCAGTACAGGTTTTACTCATGCTATATATCAGAGGTTATAATGTCTCCTTACTTCTACTGAATGCTGCCTCGGTTATAAATTGAAGGTTGCATTTGTATTCTGAGGTCAGGCTCAGGTGACTATCTAACATCCTCTCCAATGGTCTGAGCGATTGCTTTCTAGGGTGTGAATAGCCTTCCCTGGATAAACATCCACGTCTATATGTAAGTATTTACATTCCACATATGCATTAGTAAATCTTCTTGAAATAAACGTTAAAACTCTTAAGAACGATACGATTTCTTGCACCTTCCTCTGGAGTATCTAGCACTAGACACTGTCAAAACTTACTCTAACCTGAATGGCCCTCAGGTCTGATCCAGTATGGCAATTCCAATGAGCTTTTATTAATCTACATTCTGTATTTTTTGAATTCTGCTAGGCTCTCAAATGCAGTGATGCCATTAAGTTTTGTAACTTAACCACCACTGAGGTTTGTGAAAACCAATTCTTTCTACCAGGTTTGAGTTAACCTGCAGCTTACTTTCCTCTCTTCTTCGACATTACTCACTATGTCTTGATCACTCGTGCTGCTGACTGATCTTATGGTGTCATCTTTCCACTGGCCAGGAAAAAAGCAACTGATGCAGCGTAAGGTGTCAGGAATGTTGCCTGCCTCCATGGAGGTCAACAGTGCCCACATGGAGCGGTGGCTGTCCTCCAGGTTACTGCAACATGGAACTGAATAGCACATTTTGTATTATCCCATGAGGAATCAAATTCCCTCTACAAAATATCTTGTAGAGATTCAGACTATGATGACAATGAACACCAGAATTAATTAATTACATCCCAGTGCTTGCGACTATGGACAGTTCTGGGTCATTTGTGAGCCTGCCTTATTTACTGGTGCCCTGCAAATGTTTACTGGATAGTACATTGCCCATGAAGACATGAAAACAGTCAGCAGGGTCAAACTCAACGTAATGTAAGTAAACACAGTCACGAGGCAGTATTTGGAAGGGATAATCATTGGAGCTTGGCCCATATTCCAAATGGAAATAAACCTTTTATACGGGACTCAGGCTGGATTTATATCAAAAACAAGCCTAGAGTCCCTCCCAGCGCACCACTCGTGACAGCCTCTTGCTAGGAATACTCCAGCCATTACTTCCAGGGATGAAAAGCACATCCCCCCCTCCCCAGTGGGAATATTTCATATTCTGCTTGACGGCAGCACTTAGCTCAGCTTTGCTTCTCTGTTTCACTGTGGAGCGCTTCCCAATAAAACCAGACTGGGTCATTTTTAGAGCAACAGACAGACAAGTTGCAGGTCAGAGGCTATGTTTGGAGGATATAGAATATGAACTAGGAGCGGTGGCAAAAAAGAGGTGGATCTGCAAACCCAGAAGAAACCGTCTGTTCAGAAGGCCAATGTGTTCAGACAAGAGGTTTCATTTAAAGTCTTCTGGTGAATTAAACACAAACATTGCCAGATTTGCTGGAGAGCAAAGCTAGACAGATAGATGACCACTGCAGCTTGCTCCCTTGAGCTCTACTTTAAATATCAGACTGGACTCTAAAAACAAAGGGCCACAGTAGCTTTCACCGCTTAAGCTGCTACAGAAGCTATTGCAAGCTTATCCAGCATATATCAGGCCAGCTCCTTGCACTGATGTGGGTGGCTTCCACCTCCCTTTTTAATAAAAGATTTATAATTTATTTTCTTCCCTTTTGGGTCTAATCTAAAGGAAAAAAGGGTCAAGTCCACTTCTCTGTGTTGGAGGATTCTTTCCTACTCCTATTCTTTCTGAAAAAGTTGCCTGGAAAATATGGCAAGCAAAATTCCAGAGACAGGCAATAAGAATAAAGCATCCTCAAAATCAGAAACAAAAAAAGACAGTTCGGAAGGGATTTGCTGATTTATCTGTCATTCCATCACACTTAAACAAAAACCCCAAACAAAACTCACATACGAACCTAGTTCCCTGTACTTTTAAACAGCAGAATACTCTTTCGGAACAGCATCTGTTCCATTGCATTACTAGTGAAATGTCAGAGGGCAAAGAATGCTAAGGCCACACATTCACCATTGCTATGTACAACAGTTAGAAGAACGCTGCACTTTCGTTCTCCCTATATCCCAAAGCTCCCAGCTTTAAATTAATGGACTTGATTAATCTTTGTTTTAAACCTTTTTAAACCGTCTCCAACAAAGAAAGCAAATCCATTGTGGGTAACTGGCTCTTCTGTGTCCTACTGCCAGATGGTGAGGCATGAAGGTAATGGACAATATTCCTCATTCCTGGATATTAAAATGCAAATAGAGTGCAAAGAGCAGAACCTTTTTGGAAACTTTAGACCTTCCCTCTTTGTGTCCTTCTCAGCAGCACTATAACATATTGGGTCAATGGATGACGAATACCATGTAGACAAATTGAGAAGTTATGAGAAGGAATCCATCAGCACTTCAAGCTGTTGCAAGTACTGAAAATTGTTTCAGTCAAGAACTTAACACGGAAAAATTTAGATTTGCCCCCACTGGACACCATCGTGTGCAGAATGCTCTGGCACTAGCAATACCCTGACTCTCACCATCCAGACAATTTTAGTCATGTTTTGGTTAACCGATGAGCTATTTGACACAGTTGTGCAGAGCACTCTGCTCTCGTGACCAGTGCTTACCCTGGGTAGGCAGGGATGGCTGTGGGAGGTACCGCCCGGACTGCCCCATACACTGTCCTTCCTCGGCCCCTCAGGTGGGCTCCCCGAAACGCGGCTGCTGTGGTGGCTGCAGTTGGATAGGGGAAGCCTGGAACTGTAAAGACAGACAAGGTGGAGGGTGAAAAGGATCCGAGCTCCTGCCCAGACAACAACCGTCTGCTTCAAACAAAGTGACACAAGAGCTCCACAGCGGTGGGACATTTGGCATCAATCCTGCAGAGGGGCATGCTTATATCCCAGCAAGCATCCCATACATAGTTCCTGCTACACCATGGCCTTTGGGGGAAGAGGGGTTGCAGAGAGGTTTGGCATGCAAGAGGTTAATGCTTTGGCATGCCTCACCCACCACAAACAGGGTACAAATCCCCCCGCCTTTTGACACCGCCATGCAGTCTGGTTAGAGTCTGAGAAGCGCAGAGAGTTACTATCAATATAGCAGGCGGCTCTTCCAAAACTGCAGAGGCTCTTTAAAATAATTTGTCAAGAGGCCCTTAAAGTCAACCAACTTACATCAGTCTCTTCCCTCCTTTCCCCTCCCACTCTTTGCCACCCAATCCTCTGTATGTTCATTTTAAAGCCTGAAAGACAAGATAGCCCATATAACAGCAGCAGAAATTTCCCATAAAGTGCCAGTTTACTGAGAGCCCACCTTCATTTAACAAGCGTGACCAATAACTGGCTTCGTCTATAGTGAGGCCTGCTTTATTACGCTTTACGCTGGAGTAAACTGGCTCGTGATGAAATGATGTAAAACCTCAGAGGCATCTGCAAACATGTAATAAACAGATACCGAGAGGGAAGGAGTCCCAGGGCGCAAACCCAACCCAACGTGCGTCCAGGTGCATGCCACTGGGGGCCCTGCAGACTCGCAGTTTAGCAGCTTGTATAATATGTACTTTAGGGATTTGTCTGTTTGGTTTCTTTGATTTCGAAAGGGGGAGGGGGGCAAGGGAATGGCCTATTCCTCACACGCACCCTCCCCCTGTTCTGCAGCCTCCTCATCGCTCAGACCCATTCACCAGTACAGAAACACACTGCAGATGAACCAGTTACAGCAACTGCACAGTATACTTTGGCTCAAAGTAAACTCATTCCCAGTGAGACCCATCCTTTCAAGTATATATTATACAGACTGGAGAGAAGAAGGGTAACAGGTCATCGTTAACTCAAGCACAGTAACAATACAGGGGCCAACGGGGGCTACTTACTGATTAAAGGAATGTAAGTGTTAATACCCCCCCTTCCTGACAGGGGCACTGCGGCGTCATTGCCCAGCGAGACATCTGCTTGAAAGCTGGACGCTAATTTAATTTTAAAAAGAATAAAAAAAAAAAAAAAGAAAAAACAAAAACAAACAAACGTAAAAAGGTTATAAAGAAACAGCAGATTGAGAACATAAACAAACACCACTGCAGTTAAATGGCAGAAGTGGAAGTGTCTACTTAAGCTCTACCTGCATATAACTCAGGGCCGTACACCGCTCCAACCACAGGACTCAACTTCCAACCTGAAACAACAAAGACTGCAGTGAATGCCAAAATCTACACCAAGAGAAGGAGCGGGCAGCGTGGGTAGGGGGAACGGTCTCTTGCATGCGCCCCAGCTTCACATGCACAGCTTTTTCCAATTTCTGCTTTGCCTCAATCCCCCTTGGTGTAGATGGAGGCCAACTGCCTTTTTCTAATGTCAAGTTCTAGGTACAGGTCGCTGTATCGGAGGGAACAGCAAAACATCGGCTGATCCGCAGCACAGCAGAGGCACCGCTGAGGGAATGCCAACTACCTTATATGCATATTCGCCACGAGCACCGTGCGACCCTGCGTTCCCTGCACGAACCTTGCTGCCAGCTCCTCCAGCTCCTGCCCGCTTTCACCAGGAACGCTGCGGATTCAAACCTCTCTAAAGCCACTGGCCCCGACTGTCATCCCGGGCAAGTCAATTTATAGCCTTGAATACTCAAAACACCCTTCTGTCTTATTTGCTAGAGATCTGCTAAAAAGCAAGTGCCTGAATTTCCTCATTAATTGAATTACACGACTATGGTGCAGAAAAGCAATTAAGCCTATTCATCTCACATTTTCTCCTCTCTGTTATTTTAGTATTTCCTGTCTTCTTTATGCTGCTTTTCAGGTGAAAGCCTTCCCAGAGCATTGATTTTAATATCATCTGGATAATTGGCAAGAACTGCAAATCATCAACATAAAACCTACAAGAGAATAGTGCTTAAAGAAGTCATCACTGGGCTATGAGGAGGAACACATTTCCACTCAGATCTAGAAACTTATCTGTGCTCCCCCCCCGCCCCCGACCTTTCTATCGAGGGAGAGAAGGGGTGTAAAGCTAACAACAAGATCTGGGCTGGCTTCTGCAAAGCATTCCTTTCAGGAAAGATCTCAGCTGTTCAGCTAGCAATCACACAGGTATTTTTATTTAAATAAATCCATACCCTTCCTCTGTCTTGGAGTCCTGATGCACTTACTGCACTTTAACACCTCTAACCAGCCTAGAAACCGTATGAACAACTCTGTGAACTGCAGCCCATCAACACCACCCCTTCATCTGCCGGCAGAGTATCAACAAGGGGTGCGATGCCCGCTCCCTCCGCAAGACTGGGCACGATGTTGCTGCCCTGCCTACCTTGATGGCAAAACACTTGAGTGAGTGGTGGCAACGAGAGGACTGGGATCAACCCTCAAGTTTAACAAGTTGTATGACCACTTGTCAGTATGCCTTAAGCCTGGCCTAATACTAAATACCTTTGAGTAGCTTTAAACCCGGCTTTAAATTGCTGGCTGCAAAAGCAAAATACTCCTGCCCGTTATCAGGGTTTCACAAGTAAGCCAAGTTTTGTTACCAAATAGTCATATGCATTTTCTGCCCTTGTTTTCACGATAACATAACGTGGCTGCGTTGCCTTTTGCTACAAAATCTCCTGGTTCCTTTCAGACACTGAGACTCAGAATCCCAGCCTTTCTGCCTGGCCCTTTTTCCCCAGGTTCTGTAACCAAAGTAAGATTTATTTGCCAACAGCCACGCAACAAGTCAGTAGCAGAACCACAAATAGAATTCTTCTATCTTTTGACTTCTGAGTCTTATGTTGTAATCAAGATGGATTCTCACACTAGCAACTACCTATATGTAGCCTCCTGAGTTGTTGAAGCTGTTTAGAAACATTTCAGACCAAAAAGAACTTTTCTGCCTGTTTTGGGACAAGGACTCAGATTCAAAATCTCTATCAAAGCAGCATTCAGTTCTGTCGGGAGAAGAACGCCTTTTTATGCTATATATGCCTATGCAATGAAATTACTGCACAGACAGAACCACCAAGATATGCCGATGAAACAGGATTCTTCATTACCCAAACAACTTGGTCTTTCTCTATTCAGGTTCACTGGAAAATGACTGAACACAGGCACAGTCTGTAACAAAAAGCGAGCAAACAAGCAGCGCAATGCCTCTGTTTTCCCGACTGCCTGACGACAGCTGTACTTTTACAGTTAGAATCCAAACTGAGCTATATCCAATTATGTATCTTAAGTTATGCTTCTGCATTCACATTTAGGTATCTGCGTGATGGCAATGAGACTCAGGAGTACTGCACATCCCACTGTACAGCATCAGCTTGCAGTAGCGACAGGCAAGCCATCAGTCTTTGGTTTCTTTACCCAGCTTGGCCACGGTGGGCATGTCACTACTCCTCTCTGTCCCCACTTCTCCATCTGTAAAATGGTACTCCTCCATAAACGCTTAAAGGTTATACTGAAGAATAATGCTATAAATCAGGGTTTGTGGGGGTTTTATTGGTTTCTTTTGGGGTATTTTTGGTCCTGAGGAGAGATCACAACTTTTTCCTTTTGTCTTTCTTCAAACCTTTCAGCTCATCGTTAGTACAAACAGTCTCTCTTACCATTTGCGTAAGGTGTGACCATCTTCTTATTGGTCATCACTCGCGCAGTGGCGTTGTTAACCTAAAAGTAAGAAAGGGAAGGGGAGGAGAGGGAAGGAAGCATAGGACATTAGGGAAAACGGTGGTAAACTGTCAGATACCACACACACACACACTATACTTCTCTGAGCAAAAAAAAATTAAACAACTAATTTTACAAGAATGCAATCTTTAAATTACTTTTAACAGTTGCCATTTAATTATAGAAGTTACAGCTAAACGTGGCACTTTAAAATTATGCATTAAACAAAAGGCCAACGAGAGTAAAGTGCAGATTCTCCACCGCCCTGCCACCCCTTGGCACATGCTTATTTTCAGCTCATTGATCAAAAGGGCAAAACTTTGGAGGTTTTGTCCAGGTTCTGTTTGAGAAGCAGCGATAATTTCTGCAGCCCAAAGCAGGAGAACTGAACCAGGTTCACAAGCTGACTTGTTTCTCAAGCTCGCCGATGGGATTGGGACTCAGCAGGTGACTGGCAGGCATACTTTAAGATAGAAAAAGGTAGCCTGGAGTCCGTCAGCTTTAGATTTGAACTCCCAAGACTTGAGATGATGTCTGGAATGCCACCAAGCGTTTGGAGGGTCTACGTTCACCAATTTCCTCCCCATCATTTTCAAATCTTTTTCCAGATTATTTTTTCCTTGTCAAAAATCTCATGGAGCAAAAAGAAGAAATACATAGCAGCAGACCTGGGTCTTTGGTTTGATTGTGTCCTCCACCCTCTTTACAGAGCTCTGCATAGTTCCAAGCGGTTTGATTGCTCAAGCAAGTGGGGTGTTACCACAGAGATGGTGCTGATAAAGAAAAGATGGACCAGTTCGGAAGCCAAGTTACTGCAGCCCCGTGTCAGACAGCCTCAAAGTTCTTGCAAGGAGGGTGAAGTCTTTATACAACATCAATAATTTATCAAAACCCATGCCAAATGGGAATTGAGGCCAGGGTGAAGAAGAAGAAAAAAAAAGGATATAAAAATAAAAGCTGCCTCAGGCCCTTAAGACTTATGGAAGGCGAGCATACGCAGGGTGGGGAGTCTGGAACTACATTTTACTCTCGTTTCAGCCCCAAAACAATAGAAACATTACACATTTAAAAAGAAAGAATGGGAAACAACAATGATGAGACTGAGAGCATGCAGTTAAACACACACAGATAAAAGAAAGAAAAAAAAAACAACCCCACAATTGATTCAGAGGGTGGGGAGGGGAGGAGGGAGGAGATAGGGTCTCACAGACAATCATTAAGATGGAGCGAGTGCCTGAAATCAGCTGCTACAGCAAAGTGCAACACAAGCACTTAAAGGAAAAATTGCCAGAACCGATCAGAAACCACCAGTCAGCAAAGAGACCAACAGCTGCATTTAACGGAGTAAAGAAATAAATCAGGGAGGGAGGGAGGAAGAGAAAGAAAAAGAGAGAAAACAAACAGTAACAGCTACAAACAGGTCTCAGAAAGAGAGAGCAGCAGAAAGAAGGGGCAGGAGAGAGAGAAGGGGAAATGGGTGCATTAATAAAAACCAGCCAAACTGGAGTTCAGTAACTCTGAGTAAGATGTGCAAGGGGAAATCACCATGAAGTCAGTAATCAAACAGCTCAGACTGCTACAAAACGATATGTACATCCAAAGTCCAGGCGGCATTACTCAACAGCATTGAAAATAAAAGGGGGAGAAGGGGGAAGGAGGTGGGTGGGGACAACAAGTCAAATCACATTTCGTAGTGTTAATGTGAGATGGCAGATGGATTTTTTCTTTCTTATTTAATTTTGGTTTTTTGTAATTTTAAGAAAAATTAAAAAAAAAAAAGAAGAAAAAAAGCTTCTTCTCTAGCGCTTTTGTTTCACTTACCGCCAACTCGTACCATCGCCAGCATTGTGTATAGTTACCATGGAAAGAGTGAGTCAAGTGAAGGGCCCTAAACGCTAAACCATCGAAAAGGGAAATAAAAAAACAAAACAAAAAAAAAGCAAAATATGCAGACATCTTACTCAAAAACGGCGGCTTTTTTGTTTTAATATTTGTACTTTTTTTTTTTTTTTTTTAAAGAAAGAGGGAGAGAGGGAAGACGCCAGTTAGCCTTCAACACAGTGGAACACCAAACTGGTCAACACCAGGCATGCCCAATATATGGCCATGTTGGCCAGCCAACATTAACCCTTCACTCCCCTGCGGTGAGAGCTAGAAACTTTAAAGATCAGCTTTCACCCAGCCGACTCTTGACTGCAGGCAGGTCAAGAAGCCAGCGGTGTGGATAGCACAGCCCACTGCGGGCTTCTGCCCCGGGTCTCCCCTCCCCTCCCACCACGGGCATCGTCTCACACTTGCATGGAGGAGAACTGGCCTCGGAGGAAAGAGAGGATACTGGCTGGCCCCCTGCTTTCTTTTTTGGACACAAGAGTTAGAAGTCGGACAGTACTCTTTCAGTTAGTTTTGTTCAGGCCTGGTAACAGGAAATCGGAGCCTCGCGAACTGAAGCAAAGGAAAAAATCAAGACAGCAGAAGGGCAAAAATTTGGAGTGGGTGGGAAAAAAACTTAATAAAAGAAGAAAGAAAAGAAAAAAATACCCAAAACAACAATAAAAATATTCCGTAAGGGGTGTAAACTTTTATACATTTCAGTGCAGGGAGGTGAAGGACACAGACACAAACACACACGCACACACGAGACTGGGATCCAAATGTGAAATAAGTGAGGCAAGACACAAAAAGAAACCAAAAGAATAAATATAAAGAAGAAATTGAATTACTGAAGACATGCACCTCGATTTTACGGCCCTCTACCACGGTGCCGTGTAATTTCTCCCTGGCCCTGTCTGCATCAGCACTATTCTCGAAAGTTACGAACCCGAATCCCTGCATGCAGCGGGAGAAGGGGGGAAAACATGCACATCGTTATATATTGAAATACTGATCTCTAGGTAAATAGAGAAAAAATATCACAGTATGAAATCGACATCAGCACAACTCAGCAATAACCTCCTAGAGTCACATTGTTGGTTCATGCATGTTTCATAAATGAAAGAAATTAAATTCGATAAAATAAAGGAACTGTAATCATAATAAGAATAATAAGAGTAATTAAAAAAAAAAGAAAACATAAAAGCAATTGAGGCCAGACCAAAAAAGAAGTACAAAGTTACTCGAGACAATTTTTTTTTGGTTGGTTTGTTTAAAAACACTAAACCCTGCTCCGACATAGGCAAGCTGGTCAAGCCTAAGCGGGGCTTCTCTCCCCTCTGCTAATTAACACGCATGCTTTGCAGGACCCCCCCGCCCACCCCAGACACAGTACAGGACATCGACACTGAGCAGCACTTCGTTCTCTTGAGAAACTGCTATGAGAGCGAGCAGCGATCTGAGTTCACGCCTGGCACCAGGAATTCTGCGAAGCTTTGGGCAAATCAAACACTGAACCTTGCTTTTCCCACCTGTAAAATGGAGACAATAATAATTACCTACCTTAGAAAACTGTTGAGAGGAAGGGCTGTTTGTAAAGCATCCCTTGTAAGCTCTTCGGGGCACAGCTCATGTCTACTCCTATGCCTGTAACTTCCCTAATAACGCACGGGGCCCTGAAAGTAAGCAGGGCTTCTAGGTGGCACCACCAAATAAACATTACTTAACGTGAAGATTTCGAGTATTGCGTACTCTGGTTTCAAAATTTTCCTATCTACGAGTACTGTGTTGGACTTGACTGTGTCGGACTTGAAATACCGATTCATCGGTAAAGGCAGGATTTGTCTGACGCCGCTGAGCCGCTGCTACGTCCCTCCCACCCTGCTTCCCATCTTACTTGGCTTTGTTCTGAGATGGCAACCTCTGCGCCGTGGATAGCAACAAATCTCTGCCCGGTTAGACCACCAAGTTTGAGGAAAAACTGACGTGCCCTGCTCGGAGCAACCACAAAGGCTCAAGGACTACTAAAACGTCCCCGTAGTTAGACGAATTTAGGTTTACCGCATCCACGAAGGCGCGCGCGACCCGCCTGTCCTACACGCTCATGCTGCTGCCAACTCATGCGGTTGCGTAACAGGGCAGGGAAGAGATCATGCTTCTTCCATGGAGATGAGCACGCTGGCATTACAACAGAGCCAACATGACTAAGTGAATTAGGATTTTAACCAGTAACAAATGGTATCTTACTACAGACAACTGTGATGAGAGATTCTTCATGCCATGACAGAGAGCAGGGTCAAAAAAACCACTTCGTTGCATTCTGCTTATAGGGTACCTTAAGAATAGGAGTAACTGGCTCCTGTGGATCGGTATAAATCAAATACCGGTTTAATGTACACAGAGCAATCTCTGCTGGCTCAATACCCTCAGGAGCAGGAAGAACAAAGCTTGCATTTGATGCAATGGAAACTCCCGATATTAACTGGAGAGCAAGGTGATGCGAGTGATCTACTGCTATGCCTTGTCAGGGAAATGGCATGCTGCCTCGCAGCTCCCTCCGTGCAGCTCGGGGTCGATATGTATGGACTGGACCCCCAAAAAAATAGCATCTTGATTTCTAAGCACTGTCAGCAACAAGACACAAGCAAGCCATCATTCTTCAAGTGCTTTTTAAAGGTCTTTACAATACTAATCTTAAAAAGCCCAAGCCGTTTGCACATGCTGGCCTTTATCATCCACAGCTAGGTTTCCAGCACAAAACTTACACGTTTGTAAAATGCAGGTTGGTTTGGGTTTTTTTTTTTTAGTTTTTTGTTTTTTTTTTTTTCTTTTTTTCCCCCTGAACAGCAATAATAAAAAGAATTTAGCCAAGTACTGCAATGTTGAGATCAGCGAGAGCGCTCCTTTGGGCTCCAACCCAATAATCTAAAGCTTCAGATAATTTAATTTCTCCAGCTATAAATAAAAAGCTATATAAATAACTGACTGATGCCTTTTTCAGAACAGCATAAAAGTTTTCTGTTTAAATGAATTAAAATTGGAGCTACAAGGATAGGGGCTAATAAAACAGCCCAACCGCATGTAACTCAAATATGTTGCGGGGAACTGGGGGGGAGTGCGGGGGGTGTAATAGCAAAGCTGATTATGAAGGGATAGGGTATCGTGTCTGCTTCAAAGAACCCCTACAGAGAAAGGCAAGACTGAGAAATAGACCACCATCTTTCCCTCTGGTTCTATATAACGGGGAAAAAGCATCTTTAAAAGGCTGGGGGAGGAGGGGAGGTAAAGACTGCAAGAGGAATCTCTATTTCCCTCTTCTCTTTTTACATTAAAATTTCTGTTTGTTCTAGACAAGCCTGTGGAGACCGAATGAAATTTATGTCTTTGGTGATGATGTGAACTGAAAGCTGGAGAGCAGAGGGAAGGTAATTTTTTAGACATTAATCTGTGCAGGCTAGAACCAAACTAAGACTATTTTAATTCACATTTGTTTGCAATTAGTGAAGTCTGTACGGGATTTTAAAAACCACATTATCATTAAATATCTTTAAACTAAACAGGAATTTTCAATATTTTTAGTAAGTTAACTCAAGGTAGGGTACAATCCACGTGCAGACTGTATGAAAATAATTAATGTGAATTAAACCAGAATTAATCTGATTCTGAACAACATCACTAATTAACCACAATTTTTGTTTTATTGACAGATCAATCCTTAGCTCATGCAACTCTCTTTCTTGAGAACCATTTAATGTCAATGCTGAATTAATGCTTTACAAAGTTGACTATGGCAGAGTCAGTATTTGTGCCCCCTTGGCTTGTCGTCTTAATTCATCTCTTAGACATTCAAATTTTCATGAAGAAAATTAGGTGAGCCACGCTTGACATTTTTGTTATTTCTAAGTTTAAAACCTAGCAATTATATATATACATATTTTTGATGTGGGAGAGAAAAAAAAGCACATACATGTATTTTTAATTCCTTCTCACAGATGACCTGTAAAGAATAGGGATTAATCTGTACCTAAATACATATACAACAAACAATTCTCAGTTTTTCCTCCCAAGGTTGTCTTGCCCTTGAAAAAGAAAAAAAAAAAGAAAAGAAGGAAAGAAAAAAAAAAAGAGGTGGCAGATGTCCAATATTTACTAGCTTAGCTTTATAGCAGGTACTGGTTTGCTCCATAGTAGTAGGTATGGAGCCAGAGGAAGGGAAGATACAATCCTGGGTAAAAAAAAAAAAAAAGGCTTAAGGTTTCCAATATTTAGATTATACAAATAGCTTGAGTTTAATAATGCTGTTATGGTAACAAGGCTGAAATTTTCAACAATTCCTCTCCACCAGCAACTGCCAGAAACTTCTCCCAAGCAGAAAACAAGTTTAAGCCTCAGTGTACCCAGAAAATGCTAAATAACCCCAGCAAACATTTTTCGGACTGGTGTAATTCACAGTGCCAGACTATCCCTCTTTTCACCCAAAGGTTTATTCAAAGGGCCTGAAGAGACCGAGTAACTGCCACCCTTTTAGTCTGGCCTCAGACTCTGCAATAAATAACAAGCAACATGATGAGCAGTGAAAAAAAATAATAAATGTATATATATAGTATTTGAATGTTTCCATCTCTGAAGAATGAGAAAGAAAATTTACCATGTAACCGTAAAGGGAGAAATCAAAAGCAGACGGTTCTCCTGGGTGTGGCCAGAACACAGAAATTAAACAAAAAACAACAACAAAAAAATAAAGTAAAATAAAAAAAAAAAGAAAATAAAACCAAAGGAAACTAAACAGAGCCCCTTGAAATCCATGCATTGTTAACCCTTCATTTGTCACGGAGTTTAGACCAGTCACCTCAGCAGCAGCGTCTTTGCCTTGTACCACTGGAGCACGCAGCCAGCAACCCGCCTTGCTGTCATCTGCGGCTGTGCTTGTTTTTCACCAAGCTTTTTCTTTTCCCCCCCCCCCCCCCCCCCAATTGCCATAATAAACAAACTTTTAGGAGCCTGAAAAAATGGCCAAGGAGACAACAGTTCAGGCTGTTTCCAAGGCATCCGGAGAGAGTAGGAGGGTTTCAGCTATAATCCACCTGAGATGAGCAGGGCTGAATGCACCGACAGAAACACAGCACGGAATGCAGGAACACATTACTGAAGTTACACACGCAAACGCACGCTTTAAATTGGTGAGGGAATCGGCGTAAACCAAGCTGCCACCATTTCAGCAGCTCTTCCAGCTCCTCCGTGCCGCATTAGGGCACATGGGCGTAAAGCACCCGTCCCCGTGCAACCTGGGGAATCATATGCGGGAATTGATCTGGCTAAAAAAAACCCCAAAACCATAAATGCATCTTCAAAAAACACCTGCAGGGCTATTTTGAAGCTGGATCATTCCTCCCAGTTCAACTCATTGTGTTGCTCCACCGCCGATCCCTCCTGCAAAACGGAGGAGCGAAGCGGGGGAGCGTGGCCAGCACCGTGGGGCTTCCGAGCCGCTCCGGGCAAGTCGGGTGCCCGGGTGGGTGCTCCTCCTCCTCCTCCTCCCTCGATCGATCGTGGTCTCACCGTGTCGTCTGTGAGTTCAACTAGCTAAGCTGGCAGAAGACAAGCTCACTGCTCTCTCTGTCTCCATGCTGCACCAGGTTTTTTGCTAATTTAGCACCCTGGATTCAACTCCCTACGCAGTGAAACGAGCACCGCTGGGAAGGCGCTCCCACAGGAGCAGTACATCAGCTTATACTATCAAGCCATCCACTTCAGCCTTACTTAATCAAGTCTAAACAAACCGGTTCAGTATAGGGACTAATTTAACTCACTAGTTTAGTATCGCAGAGTTGAAGGCATAAAACCGTACTTCACTGAGCTAGGATAAAGGGACACAGGTCGTGTCTCCTTCACGCCATTGGCACTATAAAGGGATGTGGTGACCTGAGAAAGCGACGCTGGTGCTGGTACTTAGTTTGTCATTAAGCCTCTCTGTTTTAGTAACACTATTTGTATTTCTGGCTCAACTGATGACATCTGAACAAAAATTAAAAAAACAGAATTAAAATGAAAACAAGACCTCTAATTTCTTCTACGTAACAGGGGGTTGTATCTATTTCAACAAGTGGAAACTAACTCCAGAACAAGAGTGGCTCAACTCAAAGCACCTAATCCATTCAAAGAAGAAACAAATGCACATGCAAACGTACAGTCTTCTAGGCACAGTTACCAAAACATAAATAGGTAACTGCAAACACAAAAAACCCCTAAGTGTTTCCACAGAGCTTTCTGCACAAGTTTTTGGTTAGCACAGGTTTACTTACACAACTCCACTCACCAACAGATGCAATTTCTTTGTGAAGACAAGATGTAAGCTGCTATACAACCAATTTTTGAAATAAATATGAAGCGCTTTGAGACACTTCAGTCTTATACGAGAACTTGGAGATCTGGGTCTCCCAAGTGGAAGGCAGTGAGGGACATAAACTTACACTATCCTGAAACCACGATCTTGCAATCTGCACTAATATGAACTTTTACCATTTAAAAATCGTAAAAAAAAAAGCTCCCTCTTCAGCCAAGATTGTGCTCTGTGCTTACGCACTCTTGGTCTCTGAATGTCATCGAGGGCACATCTTGGAATGCCACACGGTATGCAGCTGATGAGCAAAGAGCTTGGATTCTCTTCCCCTGCAGCTTTACGAATGCCACAGGGTACTCGTTATGCAGGCAGACTACATTAAATCTGCAAATATGTCCACTTGTTCGGTTCAGCACAACAGTGCCAAAATATGCATCTAGAGGATACATCTCCACTAACAAAAGGAGCAGGAATCCTCTCTCTCAACCTCCTCTGGAGGTGTTTTATTCACTGCTCAGTGAAGTGCATGGTAAACTGCAACCATGAGCAGAATGCTATTTAAAGGCACTTAAACAGGTCAGAACTAGAAATGTAACGGTAAACAGGATAAATGAAACAAACAGCTAGCTTCCTGGAAGCAAGCAAAAAACCTAAACGCATCAAGGGAAGACTGATGTCATTCTATTAAACAAGAATAAAACAAAATGAAATTCAAGGGATGTTTAAAGTTTGTATCTTGTTTCTCATACGTAGCAAAGCAATATCAGTGTGAAGTCTACCAGGGCCCATATAATCCTACTAAACAGATTGAATCTGGGCAGAAATCGAGTTAGGAAACAAGAATTCGCATTGCTCTGAAAGGAGAATCAGCAAAACTAATTATTAACCGCCTCCCTATTCTGCTGCAATACAGAAAGTCAACAAATAACATTTCCTAAGCCAAATGCAAGAACCTGACGTGCGAGGTGGCTCTGACGGACACACGCTGCTCTCTCTTTGGTCACCAAACTTCCTAAAAACACAGAGATCCTGAAGATGCGGCCAGTTTGATACGCTTCCCACAGGCTGTCGAAGAAAACTGCCTGGTCATCTCAGGTGGATTCAAAAGGAAGAATGCAACCCGCACGCCTCCTCCAGTCCCTCCGACCGACCAGCCCCGGAGCGATCCCAGCAGAGATCTCCTGCCACAGCTCGGCAGGGACAAAGCGCTGCTCAACCCCATCGTACGCTGGGTGGGGGCGAACCCAGGGCAGTTTGGGATTTACCACTGTACCTTTTAAATAGTTACAAAACATATACACAAAACTCTACAACCCTTAGGAACCCGGGGAAGGGAAGGGAGCATTGAGAACACAGCACAAGGCAGGCAGCAGGAGCATCTGCTTTCGGATTCCCAAGAGAGAGGAGGAGAAGAAGAGAGAGAGGTTTCATATCATTAGATTAGAATGGAAACCACAGGGCAGGAAAATGCATTCAGATTTATTTTTTTTTCCTGAGGTGGAGGAAGAACCCAAGAGTGAGTGAGTGGCCTCCAGAAAGATCCATTTCCTTTGCTTCACCATCAGATCACCAAACTGTTGTTTTTCCATTATTAAGTGAATACCAGGTGCTTCGTGCAGCTACACCCCACTCAAACACTGGGGGCTCCCATTTTCATGCTAAGCAGGAATAATCTTGCATTCTTTTTAAAACAGGAATTATTTTGCGTAGAGAAGGATGCAAAGATACCACAAAATTACACTTTGGGTGTTTTCTCATTCTGTTCAGATTCTGCCCCATCCCTCATACAGGCTATCAGTTTTGCAACTGCTTTTTGCTGTAAGACGACAAAAAAGCAGTAGAAAACTGCATGGTCAAGGACTGAAGAACATATCTTTGGATTGCTTTCTTTTTTTATATATTTATTAAGGGTTCAGGATAAAATTCGTCAAGGAGCTCTTCAGCTATAATTTTTGTTTTAACTGAAAACCAGAAACCTTGGGCTTTAACAACTGCACAAGAAGGTACTTTTCATAGTCATAAATCAAGTCTTCACAGAAATCCTCCAACGTTAGTGTTGCCTAGAAGGGAAAGAGCAGCCGTGGGCATTTAATACAGGGCTGTATGGATGGAAAAGAGAGAACGAAGTTCATGTGCGGAGAGGAAAACACTGTTCTGGAAAGCACAGGCAGTGGGGGATGAAGGACAGAGCTCACCACTTTGCCGGGCCAGTTATTTTTGTTCTCTCTTTTGCAATTACATCCAAACAAGTAGGGATTTGGTAGAGGCCAGAGGCTATTCCCAAAGCCAAATAGAAATGACTAAAATCAAGACTAATTCACAGATAGCTCTGGCCTATAAATATCAGAAGAACAGCAGAGAGCAGAATAAATATTTACAAACTCAGCATAGCTGATTGTTTTGGTAAAGCGTATAGATTTTTATCCACACAGGGAAATAAAGCTCTCTAACTAAGCCATATAGACATTTACTTGTTGAGACTGTCTTATTAAAAAAAAAAACAAAAAACAAAAACAAACCAAAAAACATGGTATTAAGCACAAACAAAGGATGGGGAAAGGGCTAACACTCATTTCGTTTGTGTACAGATCAACTGCTTTCTGGTTTCCAGCTAATACAGAGACTGAAGAATTTCAGAATGCATCTTGAGCAACATGGGTGGAAATTTGCAGAGGGCTCTGAACATGAACATACCCCAGAATATATGTTGAAGCAAAGAGGCCATCTTAAGACTGTGAACCTCAAATCCAAGCGAAAGGCATAGACTCTAAACTTAGCTTAGCTTAGCTGAATTGCAACTTCAAAATCTCTTGTGTGCATGCACACATGTGCACACACGTGTGTGGGGGGAGGAGGGAAACTTTGTTTTAATTGAAAATGGGAATCTTAGCATTGATTAAGTCAAGCAGAGTATAGACATGCACTGTGCAAGCTACCCCCATAGAGCTTTGGCAATGCACCTCGCTCCTGACCTGCAAAACTCCCTGCTATTCCAGTGCTGAACCTCCTGGGCAGAGAGAGAATCACATCAATTTGTCATTGTGGTGATACTGGTTACGTGATGAGAACCAATTGCCAATTAGGACAAAGATCACTGAATCTCTCTGCAGCTGACCTGAGCAACGTTTGAAATCTCACCTCCAGAGAAATAAATTACCTTTTAACCCTCAGTAAAACCTCCCTCTTAATATATAGGTGTGTGAATGCAAATTCAGTGGGGAGAAGACCACATGGGGCAGGGCAAGTGGAATGAGGATGCTTGTATTAAGCATCAAATATCTCAAACATGAAAAGTCAGTATCTCAGAAGTGCTGAGTAAGTCTGCAAAACAGGGTAAATAAAATCCTTTCACATATGAGATATGACAGGTCTTCTATAGAAATATTTTAATGTAACATGTTGGGGGGGTGGGGAGGTTAGGCTTTGTTCTTACAGTCTCCCATCACACAAAGCTGTTTTACCTTATTCTGCCTTCCCCACAGGGCACCCACGGCTAGTGCAATGGGAACGGGTTGGCATGAAGGCTCAAGGGACTGACTCCCTGTTTGTTCAAAAGGCTGGGAAACCTGATCCCACGTTACAGACAGGAGTGTCTAGGAGCATTTGTACATGCTGCCCAGAAATGACCATGCTCAGAGTCTGGAGTCAGAGGGAACAGGAGACAGTCCCCAAAATAGCTTTTCCCTTCCCCCATCACACTAATTCCTGCTGATCTCTACAGAGTATATTCTCTAGGCGATGAACTGCCTTTTACTCTGCAATCAAAACAAGAGAAGCGGGTACAGAAACAGGACTTACCTTCGAGCCACGCTCATTAAAGATTATCTCTACATCAAGGATTTTGCCGAATTGCTGCAGAGAGACAAGGGGAAAAAAAAAAGATTTATTTTTGGCAATCCATTTTTCCTACCTTTTGGGGGCTGGCTTAGTGCAAGAAGGGAGTTGAGAATATTTCCATTTCTAGCATACAGACAAAGGCATAAAATCCCAGTGACGTGACCCAGTTCTCTTGGGTTAGGACATGTGGGTCCTCTTGGTCACAGACCCCAGGTTTTCTCACAAAGTCTAAAGGAAGAAAAACAATCTCCAGAAGAGTTTTAGGGATTTGAAGCAGCTTTTCTTTCCCCCCTTTTAATCTAAACAATTCTTTCCTCCCTCATTCTACTATTTCATCTAAGACATGGCTATATGATTTCATCTCAGACATCTAACAACATTTCTCAAATGTAATTCAGCATTTCATCTTCCTCCTGAAGTGGCTATCACAAAGAGAAACTTAACAGCGATGTTGTTTCTCTGGAGGGGATAGTCACATAAGACTCCCAACCTCAGGGATTCCAAACTCTGAATCTCCTTCCCTCCCCCTCCCTTTACTTTCCAAAGCTCCAAGCCTTCAAAACAATTGGTGGCAGATTCAGAAACCATGAAAATGGCCAACTCCCAACAGTTTGTTTTTCGGAAAAAGATCATTCCACTTCAACCTGTGACATACAGGAGACTGTCGATAACCTATGCGAGTTTATCGCATACGATAGAATTCTGACCTCTGCCTGGAGCCCCCGAGGAGAGAAGGGCCCCACTACTCTGCACTGTTTCAACAACCGCCTCCAAAGAGCTCCCTACTTCGCACAGAAAAAAAGTGGAAAACAAGACCTACAACCTAGAAAGGAGATTTACCACACTCTGTGGAACCATATATAGATCACAACCTTCACCTTGGAACATATTAAAATATTTTTATTGAACTGGCCAGATTCAAACCAGTAACCTGTAGGTAAAACCATGACCACTGCAACAGAGCCCTGCAATGCTCTGTCCTCTAGAAGTGTCGATGTTTTATTTCCAAACTGGAGCTCTGCTCTCCAGAAAGACAGGTCTAAGATCTCATTTTCAGGAGCATACATACGGAGCAGTCTTCATTCTAGAGACGTATATTGCACTCAAACAAATGCTGTATCTGAGCCCCATTATTTACAAAAGCTTCCATCAACATGGTTTTGATCTCACTGGTTGCAGAAGGTTGAAAGGGGGTAGCAAATGAAGGAAGGGTCAACAAGAAAAGAAAGGATAGTTTCACAGTTAGGAAAGATGATGAACACAGCCTCCGGGCACTGGGACACTCTCCACTTTGCCACAGTGCTCTTAATATACTATTTGCCCTTTTTTTTTTTTTTTTTGAATTAACATTTCTATTAGGAGTCAAATGGGTATAACGCTTATTTTGTGGGTGCCCTGCTTGAAAGACTTGTGGCCAGATTTGCAAACATGGAACATTTACAACAGCGAGCCATGATGGCTGAGGAGAAGCTCTGAATATGTAAAGCAATAAAAAGCCATTAAATCCCTCGAACAAGTATTCCACAACTGTCTTTAAGCAAACAAAACGCTTCCAACAATTTTAGCTATAGCTTCTGTCTGCTTCCATTCTCCGTTCTTAAAAAGGAGATAGTTGTATTCTTTTACAAATGTTGGTTCACAGATGTTGTTTTTACTGTTCTATTGTTTAAGGACAATACTTGATCTTCTATTCATCCCAAGAACAATTGAATTCACAATATCCCACGTTACACGAAGTTTGAATAATGCTAATGTAAACATGCATCTTCCTTGAAACCTCAACATCTCAACAGCTTAGGCTTGATCCATGCTGGATCATCTTTTGACCACTGCTGTGCCAATCACAGCTAAAATGCATTTTCTATTTCTATCCCACGCTTGGTGTGGGCTTGTCTATAAAGGAGATTAGCCGTTGATTGCTTTTTGTTGTCTTTGTTGCATATGGCTTGGGCACTGCCATGAAAGAAATCAGTCATGTTTGCTTCCTTGGTAGGCTATTTCAGTGTCGTTACACGACAGGGGCTGAACCAATTTAACAGCTCGTGGCTGCTGAAGGGCTGTCCCTGCTCCCTTGTCCTTCCTTGTCTGGTCTGCCCAGCTTCCTAAAGCTGGCCCCAGTTTTCATTCTCACCTGTAGATAAACTGATACAGCCCACCAATCCTGCAAAAAAATTCCCAACAAAAGGAATAAATACAAGGGTTTTGACCATTCACTGATCTGAAGTGCTTCAAAGGGTCAGGTGAGCATCAGGGCTCGGAGAAGCAAAAGGGAGCAGAAAGCAGAACACCCTGCCCGAGAGCAGGATCTGTCCCTGCCAGATCAGCTCAGCTGCCTAGCCTTGCGACACACGCTGAAACAGCCGGGCTCTCGATAAACGCGAATGCCAAAATTATTTTCAAATCTTCAAAGCCATCAAAAATCACCGTTTTCTACCTCATTAGAATCATCTTGAAAGAGAACAAACTGTGCAGCTTCTGGTGCACAATTATGGCGTGCCATCTTCCCCTTTCTCCACACCCAGCTGGGCCTGGATCCTGGGTACGACTGCCAGCACCGCCTGCCAGCTCCGCGCGGCTGAGCTCACCGCGCAGGGTTCCACACCAATAGGAAATCCTGCCTCGTGGGTTTAATTTCTGGTGGCTGACAAAAAGCTGGCGGTGACGCTGAGCACAAGCAGTCTGACCTAGCTCCGTGAGAGGTGGCAGGGCCGCCTCCCTGCCCTGTAGATGATGGAGGTACGTAGTTTTCTAGATGACAGAATTAAGATCACCAAATCCTGCGGTTGCAGTGAGGGCACGCTTGATGCCTACTGCAACGGGCTACATCCACCCATGCAAACCGCCCCATCTCTTTTCTACCTAGGAACTGTGGGTGTATGAAGAGGCAGGAGGGAAGGACCTGCTTGGGAGAGAAGGAACAGAGACAACGGGCTGACTGCTGAACCGAGGTTTGCTGGGGAAGAGTTTCCTGCTCCGTGAAATTCCCTGGAAGAAAGCAGCATGGCCGGGAGGCAGGAGAACATGCGCTGGGCTCTTCAAGACCCTGCTGCAACCGTTACCACAGCTGCTCCGACAGCTCCTAACACCACGGCTCTTGTCCTCACTGCTGCAACCGTTACAGCAGGTCCAGCACTGGAGGCACTTTTTTTTTCTTTGGTAGCGTGCCAGAATTTTCCTGAAGAACGAAAGCAGGAAGAAAAAGAACTAGTTCATTTTAACAGTTTACATCTCCTTCAAATCTGAATCTAATTTAGTGGAACATGAAAAGGCACTTTGTTCTCTGATGGTGCTTCCCCTACCAAATGTCAACAGCCTACTGCAAACAATGGAAGTTTTAAGAGCTCCTTAGCGAAAGGTCACAATTTTTGTATGGAAAATGCTAGGCCATCTAAATAAAAGGGTCAACGCCAAATGGACATGGACCCATAGTAATTTTTTTAAATCATGTATACAGGCATGTTTGTATTTTCCAGCAGACAGAGGGTCTGGCCAAATAAAACAAGATCCATGCTTAGGTCATCCATGAAGACTAACCCTCTAGTCTCTAACCCTGAAGACATGAATCACTGTTCTCACAGGATTTCTTCACTCAACGATTACCAAGAATGTCTACTTACAACCCTGCACAGCAGCAGGGGAAAAAACTCCTCAGCAGAGTTCACAAGCTCTGAAGAAAGCATTGCAGCACTGCACATCTCAAATCACTGAATGGTTTGGGTTGGAAGGGACCTTAAAGATCATCTAGTTTGGGTGTTCCAGGGACACCTTCCCCTAGACCAGGCTGCTCAAAGCCCCATCCAGCCTGGCCTTGAACACTGCCAGGGATGGGGCATCCACAGCTTCTCTGGGCAACCTGCTCCAGTGCCTCACCACCCTCACAGTAAACAATTTCTTCCTAATATCTAATCTAAATCTATCCTCTTTCAGTTTAAAACCATTATCCATCATCCCCGATAAAGACTCCCTCCCCATCTTTCTTGTAGGCCCCCTTTAGGTACTGGAAGGCTGCCACAGGGTCTCCCCGCAGCCTTCTCTTCTCCAGGCTGAACAACCCCAACTCTCTCAGCCTGTCTTCACAGGAGAGGTGCTCCAGCCCTCTCATCATCTTGGTGGCCCTCCTCTGGACCCACTCCAACAGCTCCATGTCCTTCTTATGTTGGGGGCCCCACAGCTGAACGCAGTACTGCAGAGGGGGTCTCACGAGAGCAGAGGGGCAAAATCACCTCCCTCAACCTGCTAGCCTGACTTCTTTTCATGCAGCCCAGGATGCAATTGGCTTTCCGGGCTGCAAGCACACATTGCTGGCTCATATTCAGTCTTTCATCCACTAATACCCCCAAGTCCTTCTTCCACATGCTTCCCACCATGACTTAAAAAGCTTACTACGTGACCAAGAAGCCAGCATCCCCCATCACATGTCAGATGGTGCAAGAAGCCTCCTCCATGAGCTGCTCATGCACACATCGTATGATGGATAGACAGACAAACGCACACACTTCCAGTCATGCTGTGGCACAGGAGCTATAGCATCTTGTTCTTAGTCCTCCGTTCCCTGGAGTGACCTTGTACCAGCTTTTAGTTATTTTTCTGTAAAGCAGGTAAATGAGAATCATCTCCTCTACAATGGTAGCAGGGGCTGTTGGAAATAACAGTTTTAAGAGGCATAAAGATATTAACAGACATCAGCTATGACCAGAGACCAATTTTCTTGCTTGAACATGATGTACCTTATCATAGATGCAAGGGCATTGTGCAAAGAAGGGTATATGCATGCTGTGTGTTTCTTTCCACACAGATGACATGAAGGCAGCAGATTTTTCCAGCAGAGGCCATAACTACATTAGATATAATAAATTTGAGAGATCTGGCACCAGAGAGCTTTTGCCTTCCAAGGCACTGACAGTTTGGTAGGGCCCCTCCTGTACGCTCTATTCCAGCTGGCCCTGCCTCCTCTCCCTGTCTAGAGCTTTCAAAATCAGCTCCAAAACGTGCCAGACAAATAATTTAACCCTAAA